CTGTCGTGGGGGATCTACAAGGAATAATCGCAGTAAAATACTGACCCAAAAAAACGAAGTCGCTACAGATTTTCCTTTGAGATGAAGCGAACAATTTCATCAGAGACATAAGGGTAAAACTTAACATATCAAATTGCAAAACAATAGCATCATTCCAAGCTTGAAATTGAACGAAGCTACCATGTAATGCATTGCGTAAAACCAGGAAGTAACGAAACCCACAACTACCATGTCGTGGGGTCTCGGGGACAATCTACAGCAAGTACACAACAAGTGACAATGAAAAGCCTGACCGTAAAGCTACATCGTTTCCTAAAAGCCAATTTTTTCAATTAGTATTGAGTTGAAAGCTCAAATTGGCAGCTTAGATTCAGAAGTCGAAGATAGAATCAAATCTTCAGCCTTGTTAATGTCCACAATGCCGCGGAACTCAAAACTGGGCAAACAGAACAATCGATTCTTATTGTATCACTTCAATTTTCCGAAGAAACTACCTGAACCTAATTCTTAATGCACTCTAAGCGACCAACGGGGAAGGTAATCTAATCTAATCGAACTCCTGAAGTTCTCAGAACCTTCAACCTTGCACCTGTAAAATGTGACACTTGATAACGAGAAGAACACCCTAAATCGCATCATAACTAAATCAACCTGTTCTGGAAGAGGAAGAAGCGGCAGCCTCGTCTTTGGAGAAAGTAGAAGGAGGACGAACTTGATCGTCTTCAGCATCGAGCTCCAATACTGAGAACGCATTCACGAACGGCTCCATTGCTCTCTCTCTCTCTCTCTCTCTGCCCCCAAATCTTGCCGCCCGAATGACTAAGGTCTCCCCCTTGTCGAGTAATTAAATACTAATTAAATTTTCTTAAATTAAAAATAATTTATAAATTTATTATTTTGTATTTCCTAAATTTTAAAAGGTATAATAATTAATAATTTTATGCTAAAATATGACATTCGAAAGGTTTAATAATTAAAAATTATATTGAGAAAATAATAATAATAAAATTGAAATTGAATTAAAAGGAAAAAAAAAACAGAGGGAAAGGAGATTGGACCAGCTCCTCCTCCTCCCTCTAAAGATTCTCCTATTTATATACCATTTTAGCTGATTTCCTATTCTGAGTTGCGCGTCGCCTGGATCTTTCCCCTCTAATTTGCCTTCTCTTCTTCCCCCATCCTTTGCTCTCTCCCGCTGCACGTCAATTCCCATGGCTGACCAGCTTACTGATGATCAGATCTCGGAGTTCAAGGAGGCCTTCAGCTTGTTCGACAAGGACGGCGATGGTCTGTTTCTTTTCAAATCCTCTTTTTTTTCTTTCTTTCTTTCTTTTTTTTATGATTTACAGTCCTCCCATTTTAGATCTATTTCCGTCCTTCTGGAATTGTTATTCATCAGATTATACTCCCTATCGTAGGATCTTTGCTGTTGATTGACTTTTACCAGGATTATGAAATGTTTTTGTTTTTTGTTTTTTTTTTCTCTCGATGTGTTCTGGTTTCGTCTTCTGGGATTTATCGATCCGTTTTTATCGATTCGTTTGGAAGCTTGGTAATCGTGGATGGATGGCATGTCGATGTGAAAATTTTCATTTGGAGACGATTCTTTACGGGTCGTGCATTATTGTTTGGAATCTGAAGAATTATTCACAAAATACGTATATCTATGGCATTTATAGTTGATGTATTACCGCTGGATCGTTGCGTTTCTGTACCTTCTGACTCTTGAAGCGGTTTACGGTGCAAGGAAAGGAACCGTGCATTTCTCCACCCTAGCTTCGGTTATGGGTTGCCTATTTACCGTCCACATTTATGTTGCTATTTTATAAAATATACCGATTAAGTATACCCCGTTTACGGGTCTTCTCGTCGAGTCAGCAGTTACATAGTAGAAATGTCCACTAGTTAGTTTGAGGGTTAGAGATATGAAATGATCAGCAATTTACACATTCCATTAGGTGGTAATCTCTCTCTCTCTCTCTCTCTCTAGTTTACGTTTGTATTTTATTTGTGCATCACTGAATTCCAGTCTGAGTTGTTAATCCTGGGTCAATTCGATATGCTTCCTTGGTCTGTAAGCGAACTGAATCGAATGCTTGGCACAGTTCACAGTGTGCACAGAGAGGTTTTCCCAACATTTGCAACAGTAGGAACATTGAGAGGATAAACAAGATTGTTATTCACCCACCAAGAAACAAAGATTACAAACTGTAGGAGACAAAACCACCGAAGGTTTTCCTTTTGGTACTCTACCCACCGCCTAAGTGGCCAATCCTTGTGAAAATATTGACTTTGCTGGGACTCTTTGACTTCCTGTCAAGATTTAATCAAAATGCGCTACATTAGGGCAAGTAGAAGTTGCTCTTACCAAGTATTTGACCGAAGTTTTGCTTGATGAATCACACTTTCAGATTCTTCAATCTTCTCCTCACCAAAGACTCATTATTCAATTAAATCTTAAAACTCAGATTTCACTTTGTCAAGATTCTCTAAGAACTAGAATTCATGTTCGAAGTGTAAAAAACACAATTTCTGTTGTCACTGAAAAAATTTGTACGATTTCAACTGTAAAGGTTGTCCGCACAACCAAGTGATCCTTCCAAAACATTCCATCCCCTCATTTGCACTCTGTTTAGCAAAAGGTGGTTCAAATCTCTACCATGTCTACATGCTGTTCAACTCAAAAAAGAGCAACATGCATTTGATTGTAAATACATGTCAAGCTTTACACTGATTACATGAGTTGTATTTTGTTTGTTTTATTTCTGTGGCATAGGTTTATTGTATTGTTTTCTTGCATTGAGATGGCGTTACAAATTCTTCGAGAGTTGAGTTACTGCATGTGTGTCGAATCGAAGTGTGTCCGACTTTGAACCTTAATTTTGCTTTGTATTGAGTTCCTAGATCTTTTGGCCTTCAATAATAGTGGAAGCTTATGCTTACTGCATATTTCAGCCACCTGCGTTGAACTCTATGCCATCCTCAACTTCTCCATAATCGTTGAAATTTCCATTTTGCAGCTCTGAAATTTTATCTTCTTAAAATTTTTGTTCTAGTGTTTGGTTATCGCTTCTGCTTGGATAAATTAGATGGCGAGTCCTTCCTATGGTTCTTAATATTGATCGTCTTTTCCAACTCATTATAGGCTGCATCACCACCAAGGAGCTGGGGACTGTAATGAGGTCATTGGGTCAGAATCCAACTGAAGCTGAGCTGCAGGACATGATCAACGAAGTCGATGCAGATGGAAATGGAACTATCGATTTTCCCGAGTTTCTTAATCTGATGGCAAGAAAAATGAAGGACACCGATTCAGAGGAGGAGCTGAAGGAAGCATTCCGTGTGTTCGATAAAGATCAGAATGGGTTCATTTCTGCTGCTGAGCTTCGGCATGTAATGACAAATCTCGGCGAGAAGTTGACAGACGAGGAAGTGGATGAAATGATCCGTGAGGCAGATGTGGATGGTGATGGGCAAATCAACTATGAGGAATTTGTCAAAGTCATGATGGCCAAGTGAGGAACAATCAAGTTATTTTAACCTTAAATCTGCTTAAAAATGAAGAGGGATATGATTTGTTTTCCCGTTTAGGCTGTCTCCATTTGAGTTTTACTATGTATGTTCGTCTCTCTCGCGTTTTCCATTATTTGGGGTACTGCTTTTCAGTATCCTGTTTATTTGCTGCAATGCATTTCTTTAGTTTGGCATGGCTGGCTGTCGGTGTCGGTCGTCTCTTTAATCTTAATATTTCCTTCTACCTTCGATGCTGTGAACCTAGAACAATTGGTTGATTGAATCAGATGATTTTGCTTGTGGGAAGTTCTAGTTGTTTCATTTGGTTGCCAAATTTACTTTAATACATGTGAGTTAAGACACATCATTTGGTTTGAAAACCCTTCTCTCATGAAGGGTTTTCATGCGATCACTTGTACAGCGATTTCGTGTCAAATTGTTCTTTCATGGAGGATTGTCACAACGTTGTCAGAGGATGGATAAACTTCTTTCCCACAATATCCTTACCATCCTAGGTCAATAAATTGCTGTAATTCAAGATTCTGTTTGATAAACACTTTGTTACTTACTTTTTTGAACTTTCCTCCTCCCCAAGAAAAGAAAAATCAAATGGTGATACCTTAGTTTTTTTTTTCTATAATACAATGACATGATTACATTGGATACTTTATTCTTAAAGTTATTTTAAAGTTTTTCTTTCTAAAAAAACCCGATAATAATTATATTAAAAAAAAAAACACGAAGAATAAATAATTGTAATAAGGAAACACGTGGCTTACTTAAATGTCGCAATCACCAATGTTCTGTGCTTTAGCCTCTCTCTCCTCTTACTTTTGTTTAAATATTAATTCTAATTACTTTTCATCTACCACTCTCCAAAGAAACAAAGTAATAATAACAAATAACAAATAACAAATTAAGTATTAAAAATTTAAAATTTAATTTTTTTCATGACTAGAAGGGTTCTTAGCTAACTAGTAGGTTAAATATTATTTCAATTTCATGGTTTAGTTATTGTAATTTCAAATGTCCATATTTAATCATTATATTTTAAGTAAACCTGTAATTAATTTGAAATTAACTTTTATCCGGATTGATTTGATAGAATAATACCTTGAATGTAAAAACAGACCAAAAAAAAAAAAAACATATGTTTAAAATTTATAAAAAAAATAGATCAATTTTAATTTTAAGATTTATTAGAAGTACATGGACTAAAATGAAATAAAATATAAATACGGGACCAACATAATATTTTAATGATAAATCTATTTTTAAAAAAATTACATTAAATTGAAATGTACATCTTACTAATTATACAATTTTGGATGGTCACATCTTACTAATAATAATTTATGTAATGGCCGGTTTCATTTTTTGTAATAAAACTTTTGAACTTTTAGCGAAGAGAATAATGAAGAGATTGAGAGGAGGATATTACCTGTGGAGGAGAGGATGAGCTCCAATCTCCTTCATTAAAATTTCCATCCCATTCGGTGAAGGAGAAAGCAAAGCCCAATTGAGGGATTCCGCTCTCAATTGCTCTGTTTTTCACTGTAAGCTACCTTGCTATCGCCATTGCCATGGATGCCCAACAAGCTGCAAACAAGTCCCCCACAGCCTCAACCATTTTCATGCTTCCATGGGTTGGCTATGGCCATCTCTCCGCTTACTTGGAGCTCGCCAAAGCCCTCTCCACTAGGAACTTCCACGTCTACTTCTGCTCTACTCCTGTTAGCCTCGCCTCCATTAAACCAAGGCTAATTCCTTCTTGTTCTTCGATTCAATTTGTGGAGCTTCATCTCCCTTCTTCTGATGAATTTCCCCCTCATCTTCACACAACCAACGGCCTCCCCGCCCACCTTGTGCCCACCATCCACCAAGCCTTCGCAGCGGCTGCTCAAACCTTTGAGGCATTTTTACAAACACTTCGTCCGCATCTCCTCATTTATGACTCTCTCCAGCCTTGGGCTCCTCGAATTGCTTCCTCCCTCAATATTCCCGCCATCAATTTCTTTACCGCCGGTGCTTTCGCTGTTTCTCATGTCCTTCGCGCTTTTCATTACCCTGATTCTCAATTCCCATCCTCGGATTTTGTTCTTCATAGTCGCTGGAAAATCAAGAACACCACCGCCGAATCACCCACTCAGGTAAAAATCCCCAAAATTGGAGAAGCCATTGGGTATTGCTTGAATGCTTCTCGCGGCGTAATTCTAACCAATAGCTTCAGAGAATTGGAGGGGAAATATATCGATTACCTCTCCGTGATCTTGAAGAAGAGAGTACTCCCGATTGGTCCTTTAGTGTATCAACCGAATCAGGATGAGGAAGACGAAGATTATTCAAGGATAAAAAACTGGCTCGATCGAAAGGAAGCATCGTCGACGGTTTTGGTATCATTTGGAAGCGAATTCTTCCTATCAAAGGAGGAAACGGAAGCGATAGCACATGGATTAGAACAGAGTGAGGCTAATTTCATTTGGGGCATAAGATTTCCCAAAGGAGCGAAGAAGAACGCCATTGAAGAAGCGTTGCCGGAGGGGTTTTTGGAGAGAGTGGGAGGAAGAGCGATGGTGGTGGAAGAATGGGTTCCTCAGGGGAAGATACTGAAACATGGAAACATTGGGGGATTTGTGAGTCACTGTGGATGGAATTCGGCGATGGAGAGCATAATGTGTGGCGTGCCTGTAATCGGGATTCCGATGCAGGTGGATCAGCCGTTCAATGCCGGAATTCTGGAAGAAGCCGGCGTCGGCGTGGAGGCCAAGCGAGATTCAGACGGCAAGATTCAAAGAGACGAAGTCGCGAAGCTGATCAAAGAAGTGGTGGTTGAGAGAACCAGAGAGGACATTCGGAATAAATTAGAAGAAATTAATGAAATTTTGAGAACAAGAAGGGAAGAGAAGCTTGATGAGTTGGCAACTGAAATCTCTCTCTTGTGTAAGAATTGACAAATATGTCCCTTCCAATTATATATATATATATATATATATATATATATATATATGATAAATACTAAATTAATAAAAAAAATTCCTCAAACTTTCTATTTTCTCTATAAAAAAAATACCTAAACTTTCAAAACTCTCTGTAACACTTTTAAATTTAATTTTTTTTTTAAAAATACATAATTTTAGACGAAATAGTTAGGACTTTATTTCAAAAATACCCTTAAACTAAATTTTTTTTTTTAATTTAAAATAGCCATTAAATTTTAAAAATACCGTTATACCATTTTTTAGTTCAAAAAATAATTACCATTAATGTATGGACAAAAATCATCGGAATAATAATTAGATTTATTATTATTATTATTAAAAAGAATTTCAAATGTTTTTAAAGTTTAAAAATAGTTTTGATTTTTTTAAATGGAAAATTAATAATAAGATTAATAGTAAATATAGTTTTTAATTTTTTTTTTTAAGTTTAAATGTTTTTCTTTTACTTCTTTTGAAAGTATTTCTTAGACCATTTACAAGTTTTTTTTTTTAATTTAACCTAAAATATATTATACAAATTATTCTATAGCTTAATGATTGTTCATATATATTTTAAAAATTTAAACGCGCTTATTAAACGAACATTAATAATTAATATCTATTTCTTATTTCGAGATAAAATGTTCAAACTTATTTTTATACACAATAGATTTCCAAAAAACTTTAATGGGAAATTTTCGATAAATTCAATCAAACCCATATAATTTGGATTGGTTAGATTAAAATAAATAAAAATTTGGTGGATTAAGTTGATTAATGAATTTTCTTAAAATTATATTGAATTAAATCAAACCAACCCGAGCCTGAATTTATTTTTAATTTAAAAATAAATATATTTTTTTTACTTATAATACAATTATATATACATGAATTTAATTTATAAATAACAATTATTTTTTTTATAAACAAATAGATATCCTTTATGCAAGAATTATAGAATTAAGGTTACAAAGGTTGGAAGGGTATTATCGTCTTTTGTAGGAGGGCAGTGCCATCTGCTCGAGTTGGAGTGGAAAGGGCTAGTTCTATATGAAGGGGCTAAGAGGGGTCTCTTTCCCAAATCCAAACGGAAGGATACAGTGAGTGGCCAACGGAACGGATTCGCTAAATTGTTGAGAAAATCTCTCCAAGAACTCCGTCTTTCAGTAGATCGTTCAGTACTCGCCGCTGCTTGCTACCGATCGCCTCCGCTCTCCGTCTTCCACTCTGCAATCCAATCTCGCAACCATGGGTTCCGGTCTTTCTTCTTCCCTCTCTCGTTATTTCATTGTTTTTTCTTTTGTTTCTTTCTTGGATTCTGCCTTTGCTTAGGTTTTTTTTGGTAAGTTGTTCGACTTCCTGCTGATCGACGCGTTTGCAATGCCTGCCATTTCATTTCCCTTTTTCCTCTTTCTTAATTTGATTCGTTTCTGCGAGTGTAATTAACTTGTTTCAAAGAATTATGCATCATTCATGGTTTGAATTGTTGTCTTGCACATGGAAACCGGGCTTCTTTCATCTTGCGCTTGTTCTTTTTTGATGCCCATATAATTAATTTATCTTAATTCGACTTTGTTGTTGTTTCTTCTTCATTTTCTTCTCTCTTGAACACCGCTTGGAAAAGAGTTAAGTTTGCTTGTGTAGTAATTGATGTCTTAAACTGTATGGGCAGATGCGGATATGGAAGATTATGGTTTTGAATACTCGGACGATGAGCCTGAAGAGCAGGATGTTGATATTGAAAATCAATACTACAATTCTAAAGGTACCTGAAATGCTGTCTTCAAGATTTGCAATTACATTCTTTTTTTTGTCATATGATGTTTTCCTGTTTTAGATAGCTATTCGATCCAATTCCTGCTCATCAAAGCCTAGTTTCATAGAACCAATTGCTTCCAGCTTTTGGTGGACACAATGGTTATATAGAACATGGGAATTGTTTGAGCTGTTTGTTGCCCTTCGTATAATATCCGTTCTTTTAAATATATAGAATTGTAAGACATAATATCACTTGGGAGTTTGGATAATCGTTCCTATTGCCCGTAATTTTATGGAAATTAATCCAAAAAAATTTATAATTCATCAAGAACTTTTACTTAACACTGTACACAATCTGATTCTTGATTATAATGAAAATTGTTTGGTTTGTTGAAAAGGCAGGAATTTTTGATCTGGCACCCTAGATTCATACAATTATTCAAAACATACGATTTCCTAATTAAAAAGAATTGGCTCTCACACCCATGTAAACATCTCCAGTTTTCTTCTTGAGCTTTTGAACATCTTTTTCTTTGTCTATGTCCTTACGTTCGGACATGATTTGTATCTTTATTATTTGCCTCATATCTATACAATGTTGAATCACTTGTTATGCCTTCCCTTCCTATCAATTTCTTCACAAATAGGTCTGGTTGAAATGGACCCGGAAGGAGCTCTTGCAGGGTTTGCTGAGGTGGTACGCATGGAACCCGAGAAGGCAGAGTGGTAAGTTTGGTATTGATTTCTTTGTTTCTGCTTGCTAGATTCCTGGAAACGGGTTCTAACAGGTTCACTATCCAATTATTTTTCACTCATTCATTTTGGACATTTAAGGTGACTGGCTGTGTTTTATAAGTTCATACAGTAGTGGGGTGCCTAAGTTAGTTTAACTTTACTTTTCTAATCAAGCATGTAGTGTAGCTTCTCAAGGACGAGGCTTATATACTTTCTGAAAATGGAAAGGTTTGGATCAAAGGAATCCTAATTTCTATTGTCGATTTTGATCCTATATGACTTGGGAGTCTTCATAATAGTTAATGTCATGTCCTTTTTTTTTTCATGACTTGACCACAGCTCATTAGTTGGTCTTGGATATCTTTTTTTGAAAGATTCGATATGTTGCATTCAATCATATATGAAACTACCTTCTCTCTATCCAATCTACCAAGAATTATATCTCCGTTCTAGCTCTGCTATTGTGACCTTTTGTTTTGTTTTTTTTTTTTTCTTTTCTGGATTTTCTAGGGGCTTCAAGGCTCTCAAGCAAACTGTCAAGCTTTATTATAGACTGGGGAGGTACAAAGAAATGATGGATTCATATCGAGTGATGCTGACATATATAAAATCGGCAGTGACTCGTAATTATAGTGAGAAATGTATAAACAACATCATGGATTTTGTATCTGGATCAGCAAGTCAGAGCTTTGGTCTCTTGCAAGAATTTTATCAAACCACTTTGAAAGCCCTTGAAGAGGCAAAGAATGAGGTCAGTGAATGATTCTACTTTTACTATCTCATGCATTGTATTACATGATGGCTTATGTTCTGTTGCTTTGGTGCAGAGGCTTTGGTTCAAAACTAATTTAAAACTCTGCAAAATTTGGTTTGATATTGGTGAATATGGTCGTATGATTAAGGTAACTTTAATTTTCAGTGTTTTATATTTATTCTCATAAACGAAATTTGTTTGCATGCTAAGCGATCTAATTAATTTATTTTCACCTCTAGATTTTGAAGGAGCTCCACAAGTCCTGTCAAAGAGAAGATGGTACAGATGATCAAAAGAAAGGAAGTCAACTGCTGGAGGTATATGCAATTGAGATTCAGATGTATACAGAGACTAAAAATAACAAAAAGCTCAAGGTACTGATTCTCTACCATTCTTGTTCATTCCATTCTTAGTTCAGTGATTTTAAAAGACCAAGCACCCGCACCACCACTCTGAAGTACATTTCCTTTGCAGCCAACTTTCCTCTAAAATTAGTGTAATAGTATTAACCTTTACCTCTGAAAGGGTTCGTAGCTTGTTGGCTTTGGTTGGATAAAAATTCAGCCATTCCTACACATCCCAGGTTCGAATAAAAAAAGGTATTAGCCCTACCCAAGGAACTTTAATTTCCTTCTTAATCTAGTGAGACATGAAACTGAGGAGAGGAAGCCTTTGAAAGATCTAGGGAAAGCCGCGGATATAAAGTAGGTATTTTAGTAGCTTGTGGAAGCCCAAGAGAAGAGGGTGCACTGCAGGAAAGGTATTTTAGTCCCTTTGTTCATTGTGCTTGGAACAGGTTGTTTACCTTGATTGGTTTGAATTAGGTGGTTTTTTGATCTCCAGTGTATCTCTCGGTATATTTGTTTTGTGTCTCTGGAAGCTACAGGCTAGCCATTCGGCATCATGCAATCAAAACCATCCCTTGGCCAGTTATTATTATTATTATTTTTTTTTTAATTTTTTTTTTATAATGCATAATTAGTTGCATATTCTCAGGCTATTTGTCTTGGTATGTCATCCCTCTATTTATATCTCAGATGCTTGGTTGAACTCCCATGAGCTCTTCTTTAGCTGTATAATTGCTTTATTTTTTTGCTTTGTATTTTCTTGTTATTGTGATGCAGCAATTATACCAGAAAGCTCTTGCAATCAAGTCGGCCATACCCCATCCACGAATTATGGGAATAATTCGGGAGTGTGGAGGAAAGATGCACATGGCAGAGCGTCAGTGGCCAGAAGCAGCTACTGATTTCTTTGAGGCTTTTAAGAACTATGATGAAGCTGGGAACCAAAGGCGTATCCAGTGCCTGAAGTATGCCCCCTTTCTGCTTTCCTTTTGTACTCATTCCTTGTTACTGCAAGACATTTAAAACAAAACTGACTTTTAGTAAATTTGCATAAAAAATACAATATGAGAACCCTAAACTTCAGCGACCCCATGGCATGCTACGATGCAGAAAGAAAAACGTAGACTATGTTAGGTTTCTGGGGAAGTGATACAAGATTCATCCCCACCCATTATTTATAATTGTTTGATTGCGCCCAAAGCATCAAGATGATGAACTAATTTCAAATTTCCATTTTATTTTGAGGTTTACTTAGCATTAGAACTTGGCATTTGACTAATGCAATTTAGCCTAGTCAGAATTTGTTTTGTTTTCTACTTCTAAAATTCCTATTATTACTTGAAACTTGCCATAGTATTGCCTTAATTGAAGAAACCTTGGAGTATAATTTACTTTTGTTATCATTTCCTTTTCCATGTCTATCCTAACAAAATTTGGTGAAATTTAAATCGGGAAATAGTTTTTTCTCGTTCTCTTGTGTTTCGTGCTATGTCTTGTGCTGTGTCTCAGGCATCCACTATTCAAGCAATCAATTTATCTTAATTATTTCTCTTATACCAACTAATCATTCAGTCCCCTTCCAGATATCTAGTTTTGGCTAATATGCTGATGGAATCTGAAGTTAATCCATTTGATGGTCAAGAGGCAAAACCGTAAGTTTTAGCCATTGAAGTCTGCTTCAAGTTTCTTTTTGATCTCCCCCTGATATCTAGTTTGCAGGTACAAAAATGACCCCGAGATTTTGGCAATGACCAATCTTATTGCTGCGTACCAAAGGAATGAGATACTTGAGTTTGAGAAAATTCTTAAGGTAACTGTGTGAAGGAGAAATATATGTTTGCTTACTAAATGTGATGTCTCACGTTGGTTGGGGAGGAGAACAAACCACCATATATAAGGGTGTAGAAACCTTCCCCTAGTGTGTTTTTAAAGCCTTGAGGAAAAGCCCAAAAGGGAAAAAACACAAAGAGGACAATATCTGCTAGCGGTGGATTTGGGCCGTTACAAATGGTATTAGAGCCAGACATTGGACGATGTGCCAGCCTTCTCGCTGTTCCCTGAAGGAGGGTAGACACGAGGCGATGTGTCAGTAAGGATGCTGGCCCCAAAGGGGGGTGGATTTGTGATGTCCCACTTTGGTTGGGGAGGGAGAACAAACCACCATTTATAAGGGTGTTGGAACCTTCCCCTAGACGCATTTTAAAGCCTTGAGGGGAAGTCCAAAAGGGAAAAAGCCCAAAGAGGACAATATCTGCTAGGGGTGGATCTGGGCCGTTACAAAAACAATAAATGTTTGATTTAAATGTTCTTTTCACAGAGCAATAGGAAAACAATAATGGACGATCCATTCATTCGGAATTACATTGAAGATCTGTTGAAGAATGTCAGAACCCAAGTGTTACTCAAACTTATCAAGCCTTACACAAGAATTCGGATTCCATTTATTTCAAAGGTGACAGCTTTACTCTTGTGTGTGTGTGTGTGTCCTTTTCCTGTTCATTTTTTCAAACCAACTTGCACAATTTCTTTGATAATGCGGTGTCGTTGGAACTTACCAAACCTTGCACAACTTGCACAATGTCCTGTGTGTTGAGGTTTCTGAATGCGGTGTTAATTTCCCCACGTCCCCGAAAGAAAAAGGAAAATACTAAATTGCTTCTACTTCATCAGGAACTTAATGTGCCGGAGAAAGATGTTGAGCAATTATTAGTATCACTAATCCTGGATAATCGCATTGATGGCCACATCGATCAAGTCAACCGTCTTTTGGAGCGTGGTGACAGGTATGTTCTTTCCAGCCCCGTTTCTTCAAATGATGCAGAAAAAGTAAGAGCATAATGTGAAATTGGTAACCCACCCCACCCCCTGCAGGTCAAAGGGAATGAAGAAGTATACTGCCATAGATAAATGGAACACCCAGTTGAAATCCCTCTATCAAACTGTCAGCAACCGAGTATATTGAGCCTCATCGGATAATCCCGATGGGGAAATATGTTGATTTTAGCCTCAAACATGGTATGGTTTATCACTTTTTTCCCCTTGAACTTGAACTTGTAATGTGCTATACTAGATTTCTGATGAACCAAACTTAAAAAATAATTATACAAGTTCAAACCTGGATTTTTGTTCGGGTACTGTTTGAGCTATGTTCAAGTTAGTTTTTCAATGAAGAATGCATCAAAGATATTCGTGATACCTAGTTGAATAATAAGTGTCTTTTTTTTAACCTCAACCATATAATTCATGATTAGCGAGCAATGCTACTTTTGTCACGGAAAGTGACTATAAGGTTAATTAAGCATCCCTCAAATCAACATTGAATAGAAACTAATAGCTCGTTTGAGTCGTTTGGTAGAGTTGGTCACATTGGTGGTCACATTTGTGTATTTAGCTTTTGCATTTATTGCTTTCCTTAATTCAACGGGACTCTTATAATGTGAAAATGACCTAGAGTAATGTGATTGAAGTACCTTAAGCTATTTATTTATTTGAAATTGATTGAAATAAATAATTGGAATCATAATCAAAACTATATCGAAACGTGTCTACTTATTCAAATTTTGTTATTTTTATGAAAAAAAAATTACCTAAAAAAGATATTCTAAAAGAAACAAATTACCAATTTACAAAACACCTACAATTATTCGAGTTAATAAAATAATATTGTTCAATTTATTTTAAATGATAATGCCAAAAGATTTTTTTTATTTTTATTTTTTTTATTTTATATAAAGTCTTATTGCAATGGATAATATAATGTTTCTAAAGAGATAAATAATGAAAAAGAAAATAAAAAAAGTTATATGTAAATACCATTAACCAAATAATGTTATGTCATTTTGGTTAGATAAATATTATTTAGTTTGACATAACATCACAAAAGTGACTATATAAAATTACAAATAAAAAATTTAATAATCAAAAGAGAGGAAATTATTCAAATAATAAATTATCAATTTTTTTTCATAGCTTTGTGTATTACTTTAATCTTATAAATATTTTAAAACTAACATTAAAATAGAAAAATTATTAAAATATCAAATGAAGAAAAAACGTGTCTAAATGTTATTATTTTATACTTAATTTGGATAAATATTTTAGTCACTATCATATCAATTTATTAACATTTTTTTTATTATAATGATAGTTTTAAAACAATTGTAATATATTTTAACTAATTTTTATTTAATGATAGTTTTAAAACATTTAACTTTTAAGTTAAAATATTTTTAAAGAAAGAAGTAAGTTAGAGAATTTATTTAGTTATTTATAATTTAGCCTTAATTTAAATTCATATACAATTTATAATTTATAAATATAAATTAAAAATATCCCGAAAATGAAGAGAGAGGGGCCCGATGGTAAATAAGTGTAAATTAAAAAAAAAAAAAAAAAAGGTGAACGAATAGGCACAATTTTTTAGCTTAATTTAGATAAATATCTGAGTCACGGTATAATGATTTTTCATTTAATATTTATAATTTAGCTTAATTTAAACTCAAAATATCTAGAGAGCGGAGAGAGAGGGGTAGGAGTGGTAAATAACTGCTCTGGTTCTGTACAAAATTGTAAATTCAAACACAAGCTGATGATAATCATGTCAGCTTTTTGCTGCTAGAATTTGGAATTGATTTTAGTTCTTACGGCTTGTTTGATATCACTAATTTACGTTTTACTCTCAATTATCTAAATAACTCCTCGTTTTCAGTTCTGATCGCGGCAATACATGTTCAATTAATAACTCCACTTCAAAAGTCCCCTTGTTTTCCATCCAATTTCTCCCAAATTCGAGCAGTATTTTATTACTGGAGAATGTCAAAGCCTTAACAACTCCCATAATTCATGAGACAGAGACGGAAGGAATGTATACCCATTTCAGAAATTTCCGTAATAAGTAGCATTAATGGCGTAGGACCCAATTTGCAGCCACTAAATTCCGTATTAAGTGAAGTTTATTAAGAGCTTGATAAGGATCCGCCGACTAAGATCAACCGAGGATTTCGTATTTTTGGTCCGAGCCAATTCAAAAGCTCCGCCACACACGCACAGTGGAACCAGGTTTTCTGCTCCCACGAGGTGGTCCAAATCAAAGGGACCGTCCCCTTTTCATTAACTTTGATTTGGGTTTCTCTGAAATGGGTAAAAGGGATAATGGTCGATCATGTTAGGAGAAGATGCTTTGTCCTCTTCCAATAATCGCTCTGCCTAATAAGTCCAGTGGTTGAGCAGGTGAGGGCGAGCTTCTCTGTCCGTCTTCTGCTTCGCTTTTCTTGAGAATTTGGCCTTTGAGTAATCTCAGAGGTCGTTAATTTTTCCCTCAAGCGGCTACTACATAACCCTCTCATCCTTATCTTCACTATCTGTATGTTTTTTTTTTCTCATCTTCTTTATTTTTTCTCATAGATTTCTCTCAAATTCTTTTCTCTATTCATCTCCTGCTGTACATACCTATTGCTAACTCGATTCATTCACACATTGTTTTCCTTTGATTATTCTTTTGTTCTTTTCTACTTACAAAACTTCCCCTGATTTCCCTTGTTCATATTTGCTTCTTTGAGGATCTTGAGCTCGATTTGGAGATTTGCATCGGATCTTGAGTTTCTGGTACTGGGATTTGTGTTTCTTTATCTTCTTTGATGAATTTGTGAGATTTAAGGAACTGGGTCGGCTTTAGTTTATCTTGATTTTCATGTTTGGTTGTTCTAATCATTAGTTTATCCCTTTTTTTGGAACAATCTTCTTAGACTTTAGTTGCTGCAAATAAACTAATCCCTTTTGTTTCTTTTCTCTTTAGGAACGGTTTTTGTATCATTTTGCTATACATTTGAACCTGCATAAGCTTAAGGAGTGCTGCACACTTGTGGTTGTGTTTAAGGTGAGTAGATATTTAGCAATAACTAGGAATCGATAGCTGCTCGGTTATTTCGACCGATGCATCGTTGCTTAGCTAGTTTGATTGGAACTATTGTCAAGAGTACATGTTCTGTCCATTTGTTTACTCCTCAAGTGACTTAGTTCGTTTAAGTAATATTGAATACTTATGTTTGATATCCATTTGTTTAGAGGGAGGTTTAGAAGGATTTACAGCCATGAGAAGATCGGGTGTAAACCAACCAAAAGTGAAGCGTCTTGTTGGAAAATATGAAATCGGTCGAACGATTGGTGAGGGTACGTTTGCAAAAGTGAAAATAGCCAAAAATTCTGAAAATGGGGAACATGTAGCAATAAAGATCCTTGACAAGGAGAAAGTTCTGAAGCACAAGATGGCTGAACAGGTTCTCTTATATTGTTCTAAGTTGCTTTGTTTTTTCTCTTAATGTCATTCACCAAATGCTTATATGATGATTATATCAAGCTTTTGTTGATAAAAATGAACGAATATACGAGGCTATACCATCGAAAAGAGCTCGTGCACTAGCTACAACCAACCCCAATCCAAAAGAATTGTAATCAACTCTCAAATCTCGTCCTTGGTTGTCTCTGCCTTTAAAAGTTATTTTGTTTGTTTCAAGTCAAATACGCCACGTAATGGTGAAAAGGCAAGCTTGCTACAAAACTTGGTGGCGTTTGAGTTAATCTAAAAGCTCACCCGTGAGAGAGAAACTGATATCTGCTTTAGTTTTTTTGGCTTAGTTGTAGTTTAACAATGGCTTCTCTGAATCAGTGAGTCCTCTGTGTGTTGAGTGGCCTTCATATTATGAACTTCCTTCCTTCTTGATCTTCGTTTTCAACATCTTCTACGACCGCCCCAACCCCACCTTCTCCCAACAAAAGGAAGAACCCACGTCCGATAAGGGAAAAAGAGGGTCGAAAAATAAGAAAGGCGGCATGGGACTGATTCTTTATCATTCTTTTAGATATTGGAAGTTCTTTGAGTTGAGAGAAAAGTTAAGGATTCTTTCTAATGCTTTTTACAGATCAAGCGGGAAATAGCGACAATGAAACTAATAAAGCATCCACATGTCGTCCAATTGTTCGAGGTACTTCTCTTTCTCTCTCTAAAATGCTATGTTTAGAGGTAGTTTTTGCAATTCGAAAGCGGTATTGGAAAATGGAGAGCGCTCGATTTTCTTCTGTGGCCATTTTCTTAAAATGGTTCTCAGAAGTGCTCTCAGCAGTTATCTGATACAAATTCTTGTGAAGCTATTTTTCCTAACAGTTCTCTTGATTTTCAGGTTATGGGGAGCAAAACAAAGATATTCATTGTTTTGGAGTTCGTTACCGGAGGCGAACTTTTTGATAAAATTGTGAGTATTATTCCATTTCTTAGGAATATCCGTTCTAACTTCTCTCTATTAAGTTATGAGTATTCGTTTTAAGTCTTTCAAGGCCCCGATCCAAGATGATAGAAACTGTAACTAGGAAAAGAGACGGGTCGGGGAGGAAAAAGACAAGAAACGCAGATAGAAAGACCCAAATTCACCATTCTTTGGACCTTGGTATATTGTTAACTTTTTATATTTAAATGAAATATTAAACCTTCTTCTACTAATATTGAAGGTAAATCATGGACGGATGACCGAAAGTGAGGCACGGAGATATTTTCAGCAACTTATAAACGCGGTTGATTATTGTCATAGCAGAGGTGTTTACCATAGGGATCTTAAGGTATCGTGCCACTAAGTTCTTGAAATCGAGTATGAAAAATGTTGAATAATCTATGAGTTTATTACCATGATGGTTCTTGTTTGCAGCCTGAAAATCTATTGTTAGATGCCAAAGGAAATCTTAAAGTGTCTGATTTTGGATTGAGTGCACTGTCACAACAAGTTAAGGTAAGATGCGTTTCAACATTCCATTTTTCTTTTGGTTTGAATTTCATCTTCTTTCCTGCTGTTTAGTGTGTTGGTCTGGAAATCGAACACTGAAAATATGTCGGGGTGATGGAATGTGAGATCCTACATCGAGAGGAGAACGAAGCATTCCTTATAAGGGTGTGGAAAAATCTCTCTAATAGACGCGTTTTAAAATCGTCAGGTTGACGGCGATATGTAATGGGTCAAAGTGGATAGTATCTGCTAGCGCTGTGCTTGGGCTGTTACAAATGGCATCAGAGCCAGACACGGGCAGTGTGTCAACAAGGACGCTGACCCCCAAGGGGGGTGGATTGTGAGTTCTCACATCGGTTGGAGAGGGGAACGAAGCATTCATTATAAGGATGTGGAAACTTCTCCTAATTGACGCATTTTAAAAATGTGAGGCTGACGGTGATATATAACGGGCCAAAACGGATAATATCTGCTAGTGGTGGGCTTGAGTTTTACAAATGGTATCAAAGTCAGACACGAGCGGTGTGTCAACAAGGACGCTGACCCCCAAGGGGGGTGGATTGTGAGTTCTCACATCGGTTGAATAGAGGAACAAACATTCAGCTAGCGGTGGGCTTGCACCGTCGTAGCCTCTATAATTCTTCTTAGCCGTTTAGGAATTTATATATAACAGTGGAACTTCTTGTATCAAATGACGTCACATATCATTATTCCACTTCCCTTTTGTAATCTATGACAAAATAAGAAGAACTCCGACCGGTGTGCTATTGAGGCGTCTTTGGTGCTCTAAAAACTCTTTAATTCTTCTCCTAAAACGTTTGATTGGCAGGACGATGGCCTGCTTCACACTACTTGTGGAACTCCAAACTATGTTGCTCCTGAGGTACCGATGCTTCGTAAACGTCTTATATCTTTACGCATTCATAACTACAAGTGTTATAATGAACGTTTCGTTATTTAGGTCCTTAACGATAGAGGCTATGACGGAGCGACTGCAGACTTATGGTCATGTGGAGTCATACTCTTTGTACTGCTTGCAGGTTACTTGCCTTTTGATGATTCTAATATCATAAACCTTTATAAAAAGGTGAGCATTTGTTTACCTCGTTTTTTTCTTTTTCTTTTTCGCCATTCGATTCTACTTCTCTTTGCATTCTTCAGCATTCACTTCGATTATTTGCAGATCTCGGCCGCTGAATTTACTTGTCCTCCATGGCTTTCTTTAGATGCCATGAAATTGATCGCTCGAATTTTGGATCCGAACCCAATGACTGTAAGTACTATGCTTCGAGTGTCGACTACTATGTTTCTGGATTACACGTCTGATTTCTTCTATTGCAGCGCATCACCGTACCAGAAATTTTGGAAGATGAATGGTTTAAGAAAGATTATAAGCCCCCGGTTTTCGAGGAGCCTAAGATTGCAAACTTAGATGATGTAGAAGCAGTCTTCAAAGATTCGGAAGTATGTCAAATTTGATTTCGTTACGAGTATTATAACATCGCTCATGATTTCTCATTATCGACGAATTCTTTTCCAGGAGCACCATGTGACAGAGAAGAAGGAAGAACAACCTGTAGCCATGAACGCCTTCGAGTTAATTTCAATGTCGAAGGGGCTCAACCTGGAAAATTTGTTTGGTACAGAACAGGTTTGCATTTTGCCAAGCATGAACATTGAGTATTGTTTGCCTCAGTTGCTACTGTTGTATCCCATCTTAAATTGATTGTGAGCTTACTTTTTTGCCCAGTACGTTTCAAGAACCGACGCCATTTTACATACTAATATGCTTGTAACAGCCCCAAGTCCACCACTAGCAGATATTGTCCTCTTTAGGCTTTTTCTTTCGGGCTTTCCCTCAAGGTTTTTAAAATGCGTCTATTAGGGAGAGGTTTCCACACCCTTATAAAGGATGCTTCGTTCTCCTTCCGAACCGATGTGGGACCTCACAATCCACCCCCCTTCGGGCCCAGCGTCCTCGCTGGCACTCGTTCTTTTGGGATCTCCAATCCACCCCCTTTAGGGCCCAATGTCCTTGCTGGCACACTGCTTCGTGTCCACTCCCTTTGGAGCTCAACCTCCTCGCTGGCACATCGCCCGGTATCTGTCTCTAATTCCATTTGTAACAACCCAAGCCCACCGCTAGCAGATATTGTCCTCTCTAGGCTTTTCTTTTCGGGCTTACTCTCAAGGTTTTTAAAACACGTCTATTAGGGAGAAGTTTCCACACCCTTATAAAGAATGCTTCGTTCTTCTCCCCAATTGATGTGGGATCTCGCAATCCCCCTCTTCGGGGCCCAGCGTCCTCGCTAGCACTCGTTCCTTTCTCCAATTGATGTGAGACCCCCAATCCACTCGCATTCGAGGCCCAACATCCTTGTTGGCACACTGCTTCGTGTCTACCCCCTTAGGGGCTCAACCTCCTCACTGACACATTGTCCGGTGTCTGGCTCTAATACCATTTGTTACAACTCAAGCCCACCGCTAGCAGATATTGTCCTCTCTGGGTTTTTCTTTTCGGGCTTCCCCTCAAGGTTTTTAGAACACGTCTACTAAGGAGAGGTTTCCACACCCTTATAAAGAATACTTCATTCTCATCCCCAACTACTGTGGAATCTCACAATGCCCGAGGGTTTATTAAATACCCTTTCAGGGGAGAGGGCAAGGCAATTGAAAATTACAATATTAGGATAGAGGGATGATCACTCAAGAATTGCTTCAAGCTGCTAACTATGCTTGATCTTCTTGGATGAGGCCTTCCCATCTTGATCAACCCATGGTGAAAGATGTTTGTAGTAGCTGAAGGAGGAATAAATGGAAGAAAACTCTCGACCGTGCCATCGAGAGATATCCATTTTCCTTAGGACGGGGAATCCTCGACCCCATTTCACCCTGTGAACATCTCGAAAATTTTATGGCGTATTTCTTATATTTATGTGTCTTTTCTTGCTGGGAAAAAGCCTTCAAAGCAAATAATGCTGCAAGTTTCTGTTTCACTTGGAGCTCTCAACTGGGTCATGTTTTTATAAACATTTTTGTATTATTAGCTATGGATTTGTGCATTTTCACCTTGATGAGAATTGGATTATCTTGTTGTTGGTGCAGGAATTCAAGAGAGAAACCAGGTTCACCTCTAAATGCTCAGCTAATGAAATTGTAAATAAGATTGAAGAAGCTGCCAAACCTCTTGGTTTTGATGTGCAGAAGAAAAATTACAAGGTGAGCCAAATGGGTTCATAGTTTCGGGTGACCGATACCTTATAATAAGAACGATCGTGTTGTTTCTCTTACAGATGAGACTCGAAAATGTGAAAGCGGGTCGGAAGGGAAACCTTAATGTTGCCACAGAGGTATTAAAATGATGAAGCATTGTGTTCTTGAGAGAGAATTTGCATTAATCTAATACCTTTTTTTTTTTCTCATTCTTGAACAGATTTTGCAAGTGGCACCTTCTGTTCATGTGGTTGAGATGCGAAAAGCTAAGGGGGACACCTTAGAGTTTCACAAGGTACTTCCTTTACTAGTATGAAAATCGTTCATCGTTCATCGTTCATCGTTCATCGTTCATCGTTCATCGTTCATCGTTCATCGTTCATCGTTCATCGTTCATCGTTCATCGTTCATCGTTCATCGTTCATCGTTCATCGTTCATCGTTCATCGTTCATCGTTCATCGTTCATCGTTCATCGTTCATCGTTCATCGTTCATCGTTCATCGTTCATCGTTCATCGTTCATCGTTCATCGTTCATCGTTCATCGTTCATCGTTCATCGTTCATCGTTCATCGTTCATCGTTCATCGTTCATCGTTCATCGTTCATCGTTCATCGTTCATCGTTCATCGTTCATCGTTCATCGTTCATCGTTCATCGTTCATCGTTCATCGTTCATCGTTCATCGTTCATCGTTCATCGTTCATCGTTCATCGTTCATCGTTCATCGTTCATCGTTCATCGTTCATCGTTCATCGTTCATCGTTCATCGTTCATCGTTCATCGTTCATCGTTCATCGTTCATCGTTCATCGTTCATCGTTCATCGTTCATCGTTCATCGTTCATCGTTCTTCGTTCATCGTTCATCGTTCATCGTTCATCGTTCATCGTTCATCGTTCATCGTTCATCGTTCATCGTTCATCGTTCATCGTTCATCGTTCATCGTTCATCGTTCATCGTTCTTCGTTCTTCGTTCATCGTTCATCGTTCTTCGTTCTTCGTTCATAGTTCATAGTTCTTAGTTCATCGTTCTTCGTTCATCGTTCTTCGTTCATCGTTCTTCGTTCATCGTTTTTCGTTCATCGTTCTTCGTTCATCGTTCTTTGTTCATCGTTCTTAGTTCATCGTTCTTAGTTCATCGTTCTTCGTTCATCGTTCTTCGTTCATCGTTCTTCGTTCTTCGTTCATCGTTCTTCGTTCTTCGTTCTTCGTTCTTCGTTCTTCGTTCTTCGTTCATAGTTCATAGTTCATAGTTCATAGTTCATAGTTCATAGTTCATAGTTCATAGTTCATCGTTCTTCGTTCTTAGTTCTTCGTCCATATATGATATGCACGATAGGTTTAGGATCATAATTTACCCAACTCGAGCTATACACGTGTCCTTTCTTTAAACTATATGGTTATGTATTATCTTTGCAGTTCTACAAAAACCTCTCCACCTCTCTAGAGGATGTTGTTTGGAAGACTGAGGAAGACATGCCAGCAAAAAAGTGAAACTTGGCACGGTTCGAGGTTTGAAATGTGAAGAACGAAATATTGTAAATGCTTCATGACTGTTGTTTGACTCGTGTGTTCGATCGATTGTTTTCCGTTTTATTGTAGGAAAGCATGGAAAGCTCCCAAGAATGAGTTATGATGACGTTTTTTATGTTACATTTGGAACTTTAGTTCTTAGTGATAGTAAGAAATATTTGCCATTCTTTTAGTCTATCATATGATGCTTCTACTTCATTCGTGTATTAAAACGTCAACTATTCTAAATAGTTGAACATGTCAATGAATGCTCGGTTTTTTACCTTAAAAAAATAACGTCAAATCATGTGAAATCCCACATCGATTAGAGAGGGGAACGAAACATTTTCTTATAATTATGTGGAAATCTCTCCCTAACAGGAGGCTAAAGGTGATGCGTAACGGATCAAAGTGAACAATATTTACTAGCGGTGGGTTTGGATGGATACAAATGGTATCATGTCAAGCATCGAGTGGTGTGTTAGCGAGGACGTTAGACCTTCAAGGGTGTGTCAGTGAGGATGTTAGACCTTCAACGGTGTGTTAGTGATGACAATTGGACCTTCAAGGGTGGTGTCAGCGATGACCTTCAAGGGTGGTGTCAGCAGGGACGTTGGACCTTCAAGGGATGACGTTTTAAGATCGTGAGGCCAAGGGCCGAAGGAAGAGCAAAAACTTCGAGAAATGTAAGTATGAAATGAATGAATAAAGAGGGTTTAGAAGTTTGATTAATTTATGGGTATGGCTTTGATTGAGTCAATAATTATTCTGTTGCGCCTAAGATGATTGGGAAAGTCAATTTAGGGTTAAAATAAGTTTGTTAGTCAATTGGATATTTTTTTCAAAAACCTATTTTTAAATTCATACTTTGAAAGTTCAAATATTAAAGCAAATTATATTATTTATTTAGACTAATCTCATGGATTTTGTATTTATTTAAAATTTGAAATGTCAATTTATTAGTTTTTTTTTACAATTTTTTAAATAAGGATTATATTGAAAAAATAAAAAATTTAAAATAATTATATTAAAAAAAAAAAAAAAACTAGTGCAGTAAATCCACCTTCAAGAAAATAAATGAGAAATTTTGCTGGAATAAGAAAGGAACGGGTGGCAGGTTTCTCGGTCCCCACTGTGTCAGACATCTTTAATTCTATATTTCATCATTATTTCTGTGAGGTAAGAGATCGAGTGATTGATATTGAGTCGAAAAGACGAGTTTAGTCCTTATAAAGGTTATTGTCTATATAATCTTATAAGCATTTAAAATTGTCTAATAAATATTTATTTATTTATTTTAATCTAAACAAACTCTTATGTTTTATTTATTTATTTATTGGATATAAATTTAAGTTTTTTAAATTTTAAAAGTTTATAATTTATATATGAAATTTAATTTTAATTTTTTTTTTAAGGATATTTAAATTATGCTGCGAAGAACAACTCAGCATGATAGTATGAAAAGGATTGAGAAGGACGGGAGAGTGAGTAAAAGGGAGAAGATGGTGGCGTGAGTGGACCGCAGCCACTAGGGTTTGAAATTTCAACGCAGTTTTTTTGATTCCATTGAAGAAGAAAATGGGGCAAGGATAAAAATGGCGGTGCTTATCACGATGGGCCGTCTCTTAGGGTTTTTGTTTATTTATTTATTATCAATTTATGATTCAGGTTGAAAAATGGAGTTTCTGGGTTTGAGTAATTCAAACGTTGAATTCGTTCGTTGACTGATATCCAAAGAAAGAAAGCTGGACGAAAGAGAGGGGTTGATGATGGAGCACTCTCATCTTCTTTTCCATGGGGTATTTATGGTGTCTGTTGACCTTCCTCCCGCTTGCCTCCTTCCTGCTGCTTCCCAATTCTTTTCCATTTATTCATTTTCTTCCGTGTATCCATCATGGGAATCTGCTGCGCAAAACCTGCCAAGCTCGCTCATGCATCTTCAACCAATATTTCTGGTGAGCTTTCTCATTTAGATCTTTTCTTCTTCTTTTTAATCGGTTTTTTTTTTTTTTTTTTTTTTTT